TGCCGCCAGGTCATCCTCCCTCTCTCGGAATGCCGTCAGAAGCTCTCGCGACGAGCCCCCTCACAGAAGCATGGAGCTCCTCTCTCTCAGTACCGACAGAAGGAAGTGAAAAAGATTATTAATCTTATTCTTGGGCATTTCATGCTTGGTGATATGCTGCCTATATTGTTTTTTTTTCTCGGGATATCTTGCTGTACTACTGCTGTCAGTCCGTAACAGGTAAGCGGGGGAGAGTGTTTCAGTCGAACAACTGTTTATATGAGAAAACCATTCTCTTAATAAAAGATGTTAAGCTGTGATGTGTCGTTGTAGCATAATAATGTTTTAATGTTGCTTCACGATAAGCACATCCCCTAAGTTTTATCCTAGCCCTCAACTTTCTCTTATTGCCGACGAAGCCCTGGGTATTGTTCTGTTCGCAGACGGCAGATGTTTGCGAATTCGGCGGAAGAAAGCGCAACTGATGGTCTGTTTTCACTGCTTGTATTAATGAAGCAACGAAAGTAGGCTGTACTTTTGGATCGGCAAAGTTGGAGAATATACAATGGTTCGAAGATGAGCATCTTCTTAAATGCACAGTTAATCTGTCCCCGAGTATAACTCGGTAACATTCTCAACCAACACGCGACTGATTATCGACACAAAGAAAGAAACATGTATGCATCTCTTCTCATTCAATCTTGCGTTCCCGTCCATGGAACAGCTTTAAAGACGATAAAAAGAGATATCATGCGCATTGAGCCTCAGTCATCGGGGGGACAATTTAGAGCCTACAATTATAATCTTCAACAACTCTTAGCCGAAGCCACATATTCACGACGAACCTTTTGTCGCCTGGTGCATAAACTAGTGGTAGTTTTGGTCGATAAAAACGGTTCTCGACGTAAAAGACATGTCAGTGCGAGAAAGTACGACGAAAATCGATTTAGTTCTGGACTGGGGCGTGTGCGGGCTCTGATTTGTGGGCTTCGGCCCATGTGGTAGATCAGTGCCTCCTCAAGCGCATCTTGACTTTAGGCGTTACGTCCACGCGGCCAGCAAATTAAGCTCCTTTAAATCCAAACCACCCAATATCTGTACAGCGCCAATCAACGGTCAGGATCAGTGACCGACCACGTGATCTCCTTCCGTGTGCACCACCTCTCTTTCTCTCTCTCTCCGTGTTGCGTCGTCGAGGCTTCAAAGGCCCCTTCTCCCTTTTCCCCTCGAAAAACGAACGGCGAGGGCTCTCTGATCCCAAATCCCCAAGCTCTTCTCTAAACTTCGATCTCGACTCCAGACTCTCTCCCTCTCATTCATTCGACGGATTTTGAGCTCTGAATCTCTCATCAGGAGAGTCCGATTCGATTTGAAACCTGACAGCTTAGGGTTCCTGTGGGTTTTCGCGAGAATTTTGGCTGCAAAAAAAAAAAAAAAAAAGAGGTTATCGTTTTGATTCTTCAAATTGAAAAGTTCGATTCATCGTCGATTGCGGTCGGAGCTTGATATTCTAGGGTTTCTGTGGCTTTTCTTGCGAAATTTGGCGGAATATGGAAGCTTCTATGCTGGTTCTCCAATGGCGGAGGAGGAAATAGAAGTTTCTGCCACTCAGGACCTTGTTGAGAGATAGGGGGGAATCCCTGTGTTTTTCTTCGTTATTTGGGGGATCTAGGGTTGATAGAGAATGGTAGGGATGGATGTAGAAGTAGCCAAGGATGCGGGTTCGTTTGATCCTGAGCTGTTGCAGCTACAGGAGGTCTCTTCGATTGCGCTGAAGGATAATCCACAGATTGCTGATCAGCTCTATTCTCAGTGGCTCTCACTCCCGGACACTGCTCGATTGGTAATCTCTAGGTTGCTTCGTTTTGGATTCCCTTCGCTCGCTAGACTGTTGAATATTTGATCGTGAAGAATAATTAGCAGCTGAACTAGTTAAAAGTTCTGATATATTGATGGGTTAAGTGGTTGGAAGTACAGTTTGATCGAATTTAATGGAAGTGTAAGGTTTGTGATGGTCAAGGATTTTTTAGCACTCAATGCAATATTTAGTGTTGGGCAATAGCAAGGAAAATTGTAACGAGGCTAGCACATTGGTCGATGCATGGAGCTGTTAGCCGTTCCTTGTTTTAGGAAAAAAACTACTTCTGGACTTTCACCATCCTTATTTGACAATTGACTCGATTAGAAAGAGAAAATGGTAAATTTCACTCTATGTGAAGTTTTAGTCATCGCCATTTACTACTTCACATAAAACTGCTAGCAAGGACCAACATTTAATGTTTGGTAAATAGCAAGGAAAATCATGATGAACTTAGCTTCTTGGTAGTTTTTGGAAGGCTGTTAATGAGCTAAGGATACTGGTGCAAGAGGGCTGTTAGTATACTAGTATAATGGTAGATGGAGAAGGTTGTTTAATAAATTTATTTCTTAATTACTAAATTTGGGAAGCCTACATCTAAAGAATCTTTTTTCTAGCAAAGAAAGGGTTCCAATAAATTCATGCTTTATATTCTGAATTCCTACTTCATTAGATCATTACTACTTGAATGACACACTTCCATTGAAGTTTACTATTTTCCCAGGGATTCTATTGGGTTTTATTAGCATTCAAAATTAAGTCCTTATTTCACACTTCAAACTTTGAGCGCACATACAACCTTAAGGAGGAATCCATCCCAACTAGACCAGACCTTCCATCACATCTCCAAAGAAAATTGATTGTATAGATAGCAAATAGCTTAAGACTATTGAATTACTTTTTGGATACCAAATTCGGTCACAGTTATTAGAATAGTTCTTTTGTGGAATTCGACGACATCTTCTGGTTCTTCTCTCTTTCCCGCGCACTTGCAATTTAATTTTATCAAAGAGTTCTAGGATGACAAACATGGTATGCATTATTGTGCTGAGGTATTAATGGTAAGGAACTTTTTGTGTTATTTTACTTTTGTTGTTATAATTGGGTATGCCCGTCGAAAATATTATTGCCAATACATTAATAATTATGAGCAGGGGAGATGAATATACCCATTCTAATTATGAGCGCTTATATAAATATCAGTATTTGTTTCCCATTTAATATAAGCGTGACCATCGAGGTGATTAGACAACCTCTCTACTGATTGGTTCCCTTCTTGTTATTATAACCACCCCATTATTTGGCCATTTCTAGTTCAAACTTTGGATAGACACAACCGCAAAATCAATAAACTCATATTTTGTAGTCACTTAGCTGAGATTCAACCGTAGCAGCATAATATGAGAGAATTTGCTCATACATACACACCTGCATACATGTTTAGTCAAAGTTTACATATATAATTGTGTCCTCATATTTGAATTCTGAACAATTAGGGTTTACACACTCTAGGTCCATGTTAGAGCACAATATACGTATCCATGATGACTAACGTCTAAGCATATGATAAAATGGAAGATTAGGGAGGTCCATGAATTGATATCCTTATATTTGAAAGTTGACTGTGGACCAAGAACAAAGAGGAATTTTTGAAAAGGATTATTTAAGGCCTGAAGTTAAAGTTCGAAGGTGAATGTTTAAGTTATTGAGGCAGTAACTGAATTTAGTAGTTTAAGATGTGATTGTCACATATTGGCTGCAGAGGACAGGGTCGTCATCTGAGCTGTTTGTTTGCATGGGTTAATATGGTTAACCAAGTCATTAGTTAAATATGTACTTGTTATTGGCCTTTTCTATTCAGTTTAATCTTTTAAAGGCAATGATTTCATAGTTGGCCGGGTGCATAGTAGAAAATGGATGAGATGTTCTGAACATGGATGAGGCCGACAATGAATGGAAGTGTATATTTGCTGATGTAGTATTATTTAACTGAGTGGAAATTGTAATATCTCACCTTGTGAAGATACGACCTGTTTGGTGATTATGATTACCTTTTAGAAAACTAACTTGTAGTACTTTGATTCTGTGTAATCAAGCATAGTTCGTGATGTGAGAATACTGGCAAATGACTTGCACTGGTTGGTCATTCCTGTTCTGGGTTTGATATTACAGAAACTATTCAAGTTCACAATGACTAGTGAGGATACAGTCACCATTATCACAAAAATCTTTTTGCCATAAAATTTTGTAATTGATTGTAGTTGAGCAGGAACCTAGTTCCATATTTTATCAAGTTATTTCCAGTTTCAAGAAATTTCTTAAGGACCGAAGGAATTTATTTTGGACATTAACCTCCATTAATTTCAAAAGGTTATTTTAAGATTTATCTGGCGAATTTGTAGCAATTGCTGATTGGGATGTGAGGCTGACCAGTAGTCAGGTGATTTCTAGCATGAATTCAGTAAATTCATGTGTTTATTGTAATTGGGCACACTTTAGTGGTAAAGTAGCAATCAATTAGTTAGGAGATCTGTAGTTAAAAAAATATTGGTTCCTTGCCTAAACTTGTATGAATTGATGCTCCATATTCTGCTTTTGCCTCCTCCTAATTGGACATTGGTAGGAATGTTGGGATCTGATTGCTAGGTTAACATCAAGATGCAGCATCCTAGTACTGCAGGTACTGCTATGGGGATCAGTAGTATTTATGGAGCTATTTCCATGTAAAGTCATGAGTTTTGGGTTGTGTTTTCCTTGCCATAGACCTGTGACGTACACAATACAATAGAATGGGCAATGCTTTCAAACATGTCATTGCCTTGGTACAAACTGTTTACTTGGTGGCCATTGGTCCACAGCCAAATGGGTAGTACTTGTTACTAGGCAGCAAGCATCAAGTACAAAAGCCGATCGAGAACCTATATGTCCTTCATTGATATAGATCACTTAGGCTGAAGTTTTATGCAAGCCAATACGCCAGTCAGCTTAAATTTTAAATATATCCCAAAATGATCATCTTGAAAGGTTCGTGATCATGCCGGCTTCTTGATTAACTTGTACATTTTGATTTAAACAAGTATCGGCGTCAATTTTTCGATTTGCAGCTTGTTGGTCATCGTCTCTTTGTTTGGGCTTCAAATCCATATCGTCAATATGATATCATCTTTCAAAAAATTTGGCCATGTTTTAAAGAAAAGATGTAACAAATTGGATTTCTTGCCATCTTCAGAAAAGAAATAGTAATGCCGTTCATATTGTGCAATTTAATCTCAATAACATAATATTTATCATCTATAATCAAGTAAAATGACTTTGTATTTTCTTGTTCCTTGATATTATTAACCAAATTGTTTTTTTGGTTGTTTCTATCATATCTCGTGTATTTTGGCACAGCTGATCATGTAATAATTCTGTGAACATGAAGAATTAAGAACTTACCATTTGTGCCGGGACAACTTGCTTCTTCTTGGGTCCCTTGGGTCCTTATGTCTGTGCTTATCAAAGCTCACTCTTCGAACTAAGTAGTCATATGTCTCACAGTTAGCATGTACATGTAGGTGAAATCTTGTGTATTTGGGCAAAGCTGATCATTTAATATTTCTGTCAACGTGAAGAATTAAGAAAGTACCATTTGTGCCTTGACAACTTGCTTCTTCTCTTGGTCCCTTGGGTCCTTATCTCTGTGCTTATCCAAGCTCTCTCCTTCAACTAAGTAGTCATATGTCTCACAGTTAGCATGTACATGTAGGTAAAATCTTTGATTGAAGATGCTAAGTCAGGCGTGCCCTTAAACATTGCTGGGAGCTCCAATGCTACAAATTCTACAGCTAGCAATTCATTACCCTCCATGTTCCCTGCAGGCAGTGCACCTCCACTTTCCCCGAGAAGCTCTCCTGGGTCTCCACGCTTTATGAAACGAGGTTTAGGTGCTGGTCCATCATCTCTGGGGTCTCCCCTGAAAATTATTAGTGAGCCTTTGATAGAAGTTATACCTCAGGTATTACTATTACCTCATTAAAACTTCTTCTAGCCAATAAAATGTTTCTTGCCGGGTGTGGACTGAGGAAGGTTTAAAAAACCATTACTTTCTATTAATTGGTGATGGTTGCTTGATATTCATGCAGTTTTACTTCCAAAATGGACGCCCACCTCCGAATGACCTGAAAGAGCAATGCTTATCTCGAATTGATCACATTTTCTTTGGCCATATGGACGGACTTCAAGTTCAAGGTTCGCATTTTTCATTATTTTCGGATTTGTTAATTGAATGTTAAAACAAACTATTTTAGTTGGTTATCAGACTTTAAGACTGTCACGAAGGAAATCTGCAAGCTACCATCATTCTTTTCCAGTGTCCTCTTCAGAAGGATTGATGTTGATTGCATAGGAACTATAACAAGGTACACAATTTTCTTGCATGAGATGATTAAATTATGACTTTGAGGTAATGTATGCATGTCCAGTTCTTCCATCTATTATTTCTGGGCACTGGATAAATCTTGCAAACCTGAGATATTGATAAAAACCTGGAATACAGATTAAAAAACATTGTATGTGGTTATTAAATTTGTTCATCTACTCTGAGAAGAACATGAAGGGCATGGATTTGAATCATGGAAGCAGCGTATCCTAAGTGGTGTAAGGCTGTTTACCTGTGGACCTTTTCCTTCCCAGAATCGACCTTTACCATGCCCAAAATGGGCCTTTTCCTCCATAGGCATACTCACATGCACATACGCCCTTCTCCTTATACATTTAAAGAGACCTAATAGAGG